TGTCCTGAGTTTTGTTTGGATGAGAGTGAGAGATTATTACTCCAAAACAGGTTGTGCAACCCGGACATTGAGGGGTTGAGGAAGCAGATTATGAAGGAGGCTCATGAGACACCATTCACCATGCATCCTGGTTCAACCAAGATGTACCACAACTAGAAGAAAAACTTTTGGTGGTCAGGGATGAAGAAAGATGTTGCAAAGTTCGTTCAGTCATGTTTGACAACAAGTTAAGGTTGTACATCAAAGACCAGGCGGAGAACTTCAGCCTATCCAGATTCCGGAGTGAAAATGGGATGAGATATCAATGGACTTTATTATGGGTTTGCCGAAGACAACTGGAGGTTGTGACGCTATATGGGTTATAGTGGACAGATTGACTAAATCTGCTCATTTTATCCCAATTTAAGCAAGTATTTCTTTGGAGAAGTTGACAAGAATATATATACAGGAGATTGTTAGATTACATGGTGTTCCGAAGAGTATTATTTCTGACAGAGATTCCAGGTTTACGTCTCACTTTTGGAAGTGTGTACAACAATCATTGGGCACGAAGTTGAAGTTAGTGCCGCTTTTCATCCTCAGACAAATGGCCAGACAGAGAGAACAAATCAGATCTTGGAGGATATGTTGCGGGCATGCGCTCTAAATTTTCAAGGAGGATGGGCAAAATACCTTAGTTTGGCAGAGTTTTCTTATAATAATAGTTATCAAGCAACCATCGGCACGGCCCCATATGAGGCGTTGTATGGGAGGAGGTGTAGATCTTCCATATCATGGTATGAAACAGGAGAAAAGAAGGTTCTAGAAGATGAGTTACAAGGAAGGGCTGAGCTGATTGATGAGACCTCAGAAGCTATTAAGACTATCAGACAAAGGATAGAATCTGCTCAGTGTAGATAGAAAAATTATGCAGATGTTCGGAGGAGACCTCTAGAATTTGAAGTGGGGGACTTTGTTTTCGTTAAGATAGCCCCGATGAAGGGTGTGATGCAGTTCGGGAAGAAAGGAAAGATTAGCCCCAGATTCACCGGACCATATGAGATCACTAGACGAGTTGGGAAGGTGGCTTATGAGCTCGTGCTATCTTAAGAGTTTTCTGGTATTCATAATGTCTTTCATGTTTCGATGTTGAGGAAATACTTTGCTGATCCAAAGCATGTTTTAGTACCCCCAACAGTAGAAGTGCAAAATGATTTGTCTTACGAGGAGAAGCCAGTACAAATTCTTGATCGTGAGGTAAGACATCTTCAGAATAAAGAGATTGCTCTAGTAAAAGTGTTGTGGCGAAATCACAAAGTTGAAGAAGCTACTTGGGAGGTTGAGAATGACATGAATTCTTCTATGACTAATGTGATTTATTGTTTGATCACGTGTTGTTCTGGCAGGTAACATTGACTGGTAAGCTCCAATAATTTTAAGTGAAGAAATAAGTAATGTTTTAAAGCTTAATCACTTTATTTTGAAATAGAAAATACTTTTAATGTTGGATTTTTTTAAAGAATATTAGGAATCCAAATCAATCTTAGCCCAAATAAGCCTCTTTTAAATTAAATCCCTAGGGAAGTTACGCAACTTCCTTCGATAAGAACCTAGTACTACTAAGCCGCTGGAGCTCATCAACTCATCTCAGCCTTGTATCAAATCTCACGTCTGGTAAGTTTAGTTGAACCCTCTGTTTATAGCAACTGCAAATGTAATTGGTTGATTTCTTTTATTGGATTATAAGGAATGCTTCCATACCACCGATTCAATTCATTCATTTTAGAATTAATGGAACAAACTTTTTCTCTTATGGCACTTGAGTTTCAAAAGTTATTAGATGAATTTGGTGCATTAGTCCCGTTTAGCCAAATTGGAGTATTTGTTATGCTTTGGGTTTTCACTGTGTTTCAGCTCTAGGTTACGGCCAGTGATCCTTGATTAAATTTTGTTTTTTTATTGGCAATTCACAATCTTTTATTTTAAGTTGATAAAAAAAAATAGAGAGCAGTGTGTGCACCAGATTACCTAGGGGCGTAATCGCAGCTTCCATTTTTCTTTTCTTTTTTCTTTTTTAATAAAAAGGTTAGGGAACAAATTTCCATTTAATATTTTGATGAGGACTGTTCTTGTTGTTCTTTTATTTGAATAGTAACCGAAAAATTTGGTTAGCTGCATAATGATTTTCTAAGCTAGAGAAGCTTCGTTTTTTTTGTCATTTAGTGGATCATGTTAGTTGTGGCTTTCAGTAGGAAATTTAAATCGTAAGTGTTAGATATATTTTTTTTATAACTAGATTAATGATGGTGGCTTTAGTGGGTTGCTACACATCAGTAACATATTTTCTCTAGCAGATCATTTTATTTTGAAAATAAGATTCTTATTAGTATTATTTTATTTTTATTAAAGAGTTTTAAGAAGAGCTTACCGGAAGACGTTATCAAGGTGCCACATTTATTTGCGTATTTCGAGTTCAACTCCTTACAGGTAAGTTCACTACCACCTGTACATGTTTGTTCAACCAAATGAAAGAAAGAAGTCTGGTTGATTTTTAGTAGATGATTTTAGACTATTTGCTATTATGTGAGCTTGGTGAACTATTCGATGAGTTATTTTAATTGTAGTATTAAGTTATGTTTATTATCTGGCATAGTCAAGATTATCTCAGTACCTTATTTCAAGATTTTAATGATGTTCTATTCAAACGTCACCATAAAAAGAACTAATAAATAAAGTGAAAGATTAAGTGATATGTACTCGGGAACAAGGTTCCCACAGAGATCAGTTATCAGTTCAGAGAATCCGATATGTTTAGTGGGTCGCTCCCTTGAGCTATCGGATTGGCACCTTTGGGTACATATCACGGGCCCACAGTTAAAATTAGCCACAAAGAGTTTTACAGAAAGTTATGAGATCCCTTTCAGAAAGTTTTACAGAAAGTTATTTTTGAGATCTCCTTCAGAAAGTTTTACAGAGATGTTTTGAGAAAGAAATTTGAGATCTCTCCAATAGTTTTGAGAAATTATTTTAGAAAATATTTTCTTTTGGGATCTCTCTCTGAATTTATTTGAGAAGCTATTTGTTAGTTGTTTGTTTAGTGCATGCTTATAGCCTAAATTTATGTATTGATAAATTAGCATAGACTTCTCAGATATTTTTGTGGATCCATAGTGACTTACTAAGCGTAAAGCTTATCAGTTTTCTTTCTTCGCATGTAGAGATACTAAAGGTAAGGCCAAGGCCTAGGAAGATGATGAGAGAGTGGAATGCGTGCTGAAATGAGTTAACGGGAATGACCTTGACGGCTTCTAGCTAGTGATTATTTTATTTAAGTATTTCAGATGTTATAATAAAGTGACTATTATTACTTTATTTTATTTGAGGATTTGAAGTTTGAATAAATTCTCGGATCCAGGTGGTTATCACTTATCACATTTGCTGGTGATAACTAGATTTATTGAGTTTTTATTTGCAGTTATATTTGACATTTTATCAAGATTATTTCTTAAACAAATTGTCGTTATATTGCAGTTTTTTTTAAAGTAGTAAGTTTAAGTAATGTTTCCTTTAACCCTGAGAGGGACGTTACTATTGATGGACTCGGGCCGGGTCGGGCCCAGGCCGGGCCGCCGGGTTGTATGACATGGGCCCGGGACCGGCCCGAGGGTTGGACGGGTCCGGTTCGGGCCGAGCCACCCGCCCGGGTCACGGGTCGGGTCCGGTTCGGGCCGGGCCGGTTAAAATTTTTTTTTTATAATTTATATTTTATAGTTTATAGTTTTATACGAGTATTAAAAACAAACTTCAATTGCATTTATTTGAAATGAAATAGGAACTACATTTGAAAATTAAAACAAACTTTAAGAGATAAACATTTTGAAAATAGTAATCAATCGGAACTTCCCGCACCTCCCGATCCTTTGACTTTGTCACATGACTTCATATGCTTGATTGCCATCCCGAATCCGCCTGAAACCCCCATGCTACATTTTTTCTCGCACCATTTGCAAATTGCGTACCACATCCCGGTCTTCGGGTCCTTCTGCTTATCAAAATTATACCGTATAATGGCATCTTGATTTTCCATCTTAACTTCTTAAGTATAAACTATAAAGTAGATATATAAATAATAAATATAATATATTGAAGAATAAGAGAATTAGAGAGTAGAGAGTTAAGAATAGGATTTAGGAAGAATTGGAGAAGAGATATGAAAAAATGTTTAAGATTAGGAGTATTTATAGGTTTTTTTACCCCCCACCACCACCCCCCCCCACCAGCCAACCCCCCGGACCCCCCCTTTACCCCACCCAACGGCTATATAGCCGTTTGGGTTGTCCCCAGCCCCACCCCCAACGGCTAGTAGCCCAAGAGCCCAAACAAAAAAAAACAAATTTAAAATAAGACCGGACCCGGGCCCGGGCCCGACCCGGCCGGGCCGGGTCACATTAATCCAACACCGAGCCCGTCCCGCCCATTCCCACCGGTTCGGGTCCCGGGCCCGCACAGTACCGGGCCGGGCCGGGTGGCCCGGACCGAATCCAACCCTAGGCGTTACATAGGGTTTGAGCCAAACCTGCATAGTGGACCAATATCCCAACGATAACCTATATTTGAATATTCCTCATCAATATACTAGCGTATAGTTTACTACGTAGTAATATAATAGGGAATATTACAAATATTTAGTTACAAATTTACAATTGTATAATAACACATTGTCTTGCGATATTCTAAAATGTGATTTTGAGTACGTCATCCAATTTTACTATTGCACTATGTCAATTTTTATTCTTTCATAATTTACACACTGTATAAGTGTATAAACAAGTATTATTAAATAGGAGTAACAAGTATTACTCATGTGAGGAAGCGGCTCAGCTCAGCTAGTCGTCGACTCTCCCATATTTGACATCTCGTGTTCGAAACTCCATGAAGGGAATTTTCGTTGTTTATCCTACTCCCCCAGCCTCCCCCCACCCCCCCCCACCCACCCCCCCCCCCCCCCCCAGTGAAAAAAAGAAGGAAACTACAACCTCAAATTTATAAATAAACATCCCCCAAAATTTCGGGGTCAAAGTTGGATTCATTTTCACACCTTCGATAAACACAAACACCCGACTTCATTTTCACACCTTCAGGACTTCTATCATTTTCCATTCTGTAGCCTTATATTGCTTAAGTTCGAACGCACAAATAAATTGACAATAACTTTTACAAGCACACTAAGATGAGACGATCCATGACAATCTTAACCTTTCTTTTGGACTCCTAGATACATTATCCACAGTAAACTCAATCAAAATTTACAAGGGACAATCTTTTGCTATCATTTCTGTTTCTTCAAAATGATTTGTGCTGGATTTGGGTCTTGATCTACAAGTGGCTCCTAGGAGTTCAGCAATTAATCTTAGATCCATAATGAATGAATGAATCATGAAAGCATTATTAGATTGATCCCGTGTCAGTCACTCTGTTGGGTTGGGCGGGGTTTGACCTGATACATCATTTTAACTTGCTTCTCATGCTTTGAGGTTTCTTGCTGCTTTGAGTTCATCCCTCCGCCAAATGTAGGTCGTGCAATCCACCTAGGAGGCGGTGATGGAAGGGGGCCGATATAGTTGTTTCCAATTGGATGGGGCTGCAGGTTGGGCAACCTGGGAGAAAGTGTTGTTTGTTGCCTCATTCTTCCACTGCCTTCAAGTGTCAATGCAGACATTCCACACCTTAAGCTGTGGGACTGATCGTGTTGGTGTAAAAGTCTATCTTGCCCTCTGAAACTTTGCCGGTTTCCTTGGAACTCATTTGCAGCCAACGTTCCACCCTTGAGTCCATGGTTCTGATCTTGATGAAAAAGCCTGTCTTGCCCTCTCCAGTGTTGGCGGTTCCCTAGGAGCTCATAGGGGGAGGGTCCATATCTTGGGCTTGGAGTGCTCATTACACCACGAGGGGTATAACTTGAATTACAATACGAAGAAGATGGATCATCACAAAACCGGCCAGATTGTAGCATAGGTCGTGACCGGTAACCAACATGGTTTCCTGCTGAGCTTCGATTGTTAGTTTGGTCATAAAACCCGCCTTCTCGTCCTGGTGGTCCACCAAAAGCTCCTGGCTTAGTTAGCATATTGTTGCCTGGGATATTTTTGGAATTTGTGAAGTCTGAATTTCCTCCATTTCCGACATTCAATGTGTTCCTAAGCAAGCGATGTGCAGCTTCTCCCAATGTAGGACCAGCAATTGCACCGGCTACAGGGGGCCTGCAGTGCCAAACATAAACCAAACTGTGATTAAGGATCCACCGGAGGAAGAAAGCTTTACCATGGTTGTCTCTAAAAAATCCAAAAGACGTAATGAGGGGGTTACAAGGACTATTGGGACACGGCAGCAAACACCGTTAACCAACTCAAATGCTTGTTAGTTCTCTGTTTTGAGAACTTCTATTATGTCATTAGCTTCTTTAAATTTCTTCTCTCATTAGTGTTTGTAACTCGTGTTTTCATATCAATAAAACTTGTTCATTCTTGCCAAAAAAAATGAGTAAGTTGATGATTCATGGCAACAATTCCCCTTTTGTGCTTAATATTTTCAAAACATAAAAGATAATATGTTCACTTTAGTTCTATTTTCAAATTGTCAAAGTACAAAGCATGTTTAGTGGATCTGTGTATATGTAATTTACATTATTTATAGTGAATATACACATGATTTTGTATGATTTATCATAAATGCTGCATAAAGAGCATCGCAATTGGAAACATGTTTTTTAACACAATGAATCCAAAGCATGTTCCAAATATTTTTCAAATTTCTTTTTCATTTTCAAAATCCTAATTGATCCAAGAAACCAAATTTAAGCTTAAGATCAATCCTAATTGTATCAATAAAGGGACCTAGAAGATCGGAATCTACTAATACATGTCCCAGAAACTTAACACTGTTACTTCTAATGGAACAGTTGGTATACTGTGGGGGGAGCGGCTCACCTTGAGCATCCTGCTCCCATGGCCTTGTTTTTCATTTCAGCAGTAGGCTTGGTGTAACTCGTGTTTAAAACAATGTAACTCACATACTTAAGAAATGTAACTTGAGTCAAGTTGAAATGTAAGTTATCTAAAACAGAGTATATAAGAAGTAAAACATTGATAGTGTATGTGTTTTGTTTTTAATATCAGGGTCATTTAAAATGATTTTTAATAAAAAAATCATTTTTGTTTGAATAAAAGGCATTTATTTTGTTGTGTAACTCACAGTATGACAAATGTAAATTTCGTATAAGCAAGATGTAACTTGTTGAGAAAAGTTGACATGTAACTCACCCTAATAGATATGTAACTTGAGATAAATGGAAATGTAAATCGTTTTAGTAAAAATGTAACTTTTCTTAGATATAAAAAAAAGACGTTCTGTCTTGAGGAGCCCTAAGTTTTTTATTCTCATCCCCATGTCAGGCAGCCAGGGGCGGACCTACAGTATAACAAGGGTAAGCACTGGCTTCACCTCAAAAAGTTTCACTAGCCTATGTGGTAGTAGCATAAAAATTAGATGCTCCATTAGGCTTCAGGTCATTGGTTCGAATCCCCCTAAGGCTACACCCAATTTTTTTTAAACTTCTCAGGTTGCATTTTTAGCATATGGACCGTGCAAGTGGGCCTTTTATTTTTTGTTTCTTTGGTTGACTGGACCGTAAATGATATGTAGTACATGAGGAATTAATAATTTTACAATCAAAACAGCTGCCTCGCAAAATCCCTAGAGCCTATTTCCTTTTTTCTTTCAAAAATCAAAATTTGCAACATACGTACATATCTTCTCAGCGGCTCTGCCTCTCACTTCTGCGAATGGCGATTGACACTCCTTAGACCTTAGCTCTATTTCGGGTTTTTTATTTCTCTAACATTAAAGCTATAATAGTAACTAATTATTGTTATAATTCATTTATTGTTCGAAATTATTATTGTTATTAACAATGAAACAATCCATCTATTTATTTAAATAATTAAATATGTATCATCTGATTTATCGGTGGATGAAATTGCAGAGTAGTAGTCAGTAGAGGACCGAAGCTGGAAATCTGGAATTCACATTAACTCAACTTCTCAAGGTTTTATTCATTTCTTTTTTCTTAAATTATTAAAGCATAATCAATATTATTGTTAATATTGTATTTTTTAATCTCTAGTACTTAAACGTATTTCACATTTAAACAACTAGTACTGTAGTTTTACTTCTGTATGTTATTAATTTTATATTTGTAACTAGGGGGAAATAACAATAACCAATTTTGAATTTATATTTTTTTTTACATTTTTCAATTAGTATATTATAATATTAATATTGACATATTCTAGTGTTGATATTTATAATTATATTTTGATTTATACATTTTTTGTAGATACAATGTCCATGTATAATTAATTTTGTTACTGTTACAAGAACAAGTCGTGATGTAATTCATAATGAAGCTAGCGGGTCTCGTGCTTTTAAACAACCTCGGATTGAGGTTAATTTAGATGATTTGCCCACAGACTCTGGATTATGTCCAAAAAATTGTAGTTATCATCCAAATGATCAAGATAAAGTGAGAAGATTTTATTTTCAAAAAGGGCCTTCTCAGTCGCACACTCATAAGTTTCCTCAACGAATAATTGGTACTAAGTCCGGAAGATTTTGCCCCTCTTGGTTTAATGACTTTGAAAGATGGTATAGACTCTATACAAACTTTTGATTTTGCATTCTTTTTGCATTTGATGAAGACCGTCTTGGGAATTTACAAATGAACTATCTCAAGCATTGCAAAGAAAGGATCAAGATATCCTTAATGTGATGCAATTGGTATCTATTGCGAAGGGGCGCTTGCAAGATATGGGAAATAATGGATGGGATCCGTTATTGGAGGAAGTATCTGCATTTTGCAGAATTCTTCTCCATCCCGCCCCACTCTTCCCCATCCCTTCTTCTTCAGCCCGCCCCACTCTTCCATGCATATTCTTTCTTCTTCTTCTCTAGACCGCCGGAGCATTCCTTATCCGCTGCCGGCGCCAATAAAGCTCAATAGTGGGTCAATCTGGTGAGAGAAAGTGCTCTAAGCCCAGGGGTCGAGAAGGAGATAATGTCGCCAACGAACTGTACTGAAGATGAAGGCCGGCAGCAACAACGTTGCCGGAGAAAGCTGAAAAGGCTCGCCGCCGGAGGAAGCTGAAGAGGCTCGCCGCCGGAGGAAGCTGAAGAGGCCCGCCGCCCAAACTGCCCACCTCACCATCTCAGGATTTAGGTTTCCTTTGTAACTGGCGTTGCTCATTTGGAAGAACAGAAATGAGGGATAGATTGGGGCGGAAGAAGAACCAGTGGGGGAAGAATGTGTGGGTGCAGTGACAAGAAGAGAGGGGAGAAAGAAATGGGAGGGGGAAAGAATGGAGGTGGGGCCAAAGAATAAAGAAGGGGAAAGTGGGTCAGAAGAAAGAAAAGGGGGAAAGAGAGGGAAAAGGAAAGAAAGAAAAGGGTAAAAATTGACATGTGTACAGCCACGTTAGCAGAGTGACCGGTTGACCCGGAATTAACAGGCTAGATTAGAAATTTGGTTGTTTTTATATAGTTCACGTACTTAATAGAGTGTTGTTATAGTTGAAGGGCTAATTGACTTTTTTAGTATACTTCGAGAGTCAATTTGACAGTTTTCCCTTTTATTTATATCTTATTATACATTTGTTTAAGTTTCCTTTGAAGTAATACTCTTTACATTCACCTTTTAATTATACAACAGCATATGAAATACAAGAGTACTTGTATTATTTGAATCACACACGTACAATACTACTACCTCAGTCTCAAATTGTTTTGCAAAGTCAACATTTTTAAATCAATCGGTGTTAAAATTAAATCCTTCCTATTGATAATTAATTCAATTTTAATAATTAAAATTTACATATTTAGAAACTACATTAAAATCTCTACAAAGTTGCAAAATCCAAATTGAAATTTAGTTAAGAATAGATATCCTAATTAAGTGAATAAAATGAATCTGTTTGACCCAAAAAAGTCAATTTTGCAACTCAATTTGCACAGGGAGTAGTTCTTTAAAACATGATTTTATGAAAAAATTGTTAAATTTGTCACCATGTTGATATTCAAAGAGTGGTTTTTACCATTTTTACTAATATCCAACGATATTGTGTGTGCATGTGTATATATACATATATGAAAAGGTTCTAGTGATAACTCATCTTAAAATGAGAACTCTTTATAATGAGACCTTTTAATCACAACATTTCATTTTATTCAATAATCATTGGTTAGGATGCACATTGGATGCATCTACAACTCAACACTTCTGGTAAGATTTTGAAGAAGTGGCGCGTTGAGTGCCAAGGGTAGAGAAGTTGGTCATATGAGGCATCCTCAATGGTAAAGAACATCTTGGAATTTGCCTCAACATACGAGTTCGCTGTAATGAACACTTGATTCAAGAAAAGAGCCACTCACATTGTGACTTATAGAAGTGGAGCTAATAGTACCCAAATTGACTACTTCTTAGTATGGACTACTTGGATAACTAGCTACACTAATTGTAAGGTTATCTCGTTATCACTCAACATAGGATGTTTGTGCTTGATTTTTAGGTAAGAATCATAGAAGACAAATTAAGGGACATGTGGAGCCAAAGATAAAGTGGTGGAGGCTCGAGGGGGATCTCCAACAAATCTTTACACACAAAATGTTTGGTGAAGATGTATGATGATTGATAATGAAGCACATGTGGAGGATGTGTGGTTCTCAATGCAGTTGACAATTAACAAAGTGACAAAGAAGGTACTTGGAAAATCTAAAGGATGTCTGCCACAAAAAAGAACACATATTGGTGGAATGATGAGGTGAAACAAGCCATAAAGAACAAAAGAGATTGCTACAAAGAGTCGAAAACAAGTTGGAGTGATGAGAACATCAACGCATACAAGGAGGCGAAAAGGCAAACAAAGAAAACCGTAAAGGAAACACGAGGAAAAGTGAACAGGGAGTTCTATGAAAAGTAAGACTATACGGAAAGAAAAAGAAAACGTTATTTATAGACTTGCTCGTCTTCGTGATTGTAGGACTCAAGATATCGGAAAAGTTAAGTGTGTGTGAAGGATGTCGATCAAAGGATACTAATGGAGGACGGAGAAATATAAGAGAAGTGGAGATCAAACTTCGATACATTATTCAACACGAATAAAGCGCAAGATATTGGTGATCTGATCATACCAGATTGTATGGTAAATTA